CCCTGCCTATATGGTCACTTTGGCTGCCGTAGGAGCCCCAGTTTCTCTGTTATTGGGGCAGGAAGAATAAACTGTTGTTACCCTGATTGTGTGAATCAAGGACAGTAGAACTGTACTTGGCCTTTTGTTATGATGGAGGGACTCACTATCAACTAAGCAGCACTCTCTAGGCAAGGGTCATGGGTTCCAAAACCCAGTGAATTAAGAGAGGCTGGGGACTAGTATTAATACCTGGTGGTATGGGCCCCTGATGAGGGCCCAACATGCTAATTGCACCATCTCCTCTCTCCATGGTGGAATATCAGAGCTAGTTTTGGTTCCACTATAAGTCTAGTTACAGGCTGCTGAGCTGAATTCACTTTGGGCCAATGGTGTACCAGCACTGAGGCTCCCCTACTACAAGCTGAAATCACTGAGCATTGTGTTAAGTAGTGGGGGAGCCTGAAGATATATTGCGGAGCAGTTCATGGGACGGCTGGTGGAGCAGAACGGCTGGCAGAGCAATTTGTGGGGCGGCTGGTGGAGTGGAGTGGAGCAGAGCGGAGCTCCACGGAGAGGTTGGGCAGTCAGCTTCAGACCATGTAAGGTGGCCCTTAACCCCCGGCCCCCCCATGTCCACCCAGGTTGGGAGGTAAAACTCTGCAGATAAACTTTCGAACTCTGGGGCTGCACTGACCAGGGACAGAGACTTTTGGGTTGTTCAACTTTTTGGACTTTGGGTGGCTTTTGGGTTGCTGGACTCAAGAACCAAAGGGAAAGGACATGGCCCAATTTGCTTGGGGTGGGTTTTGGCTCATGGGTTGTGTTATGAATCCTGCTGGTGATTTTTCCCCAACATAATGCCACATTGTTTCTCTCTCTTATTAAAAGGCTTTTGCTACACTCAGACTCTGTGCTTGTGAGAGGGGAATTATTTCCTCTTGGAGGCGCCCAGCGGGGGTGGTATATATTTGTCCCAGGTCACTGGGTGGGGGCTCGAGCCGGTTTTCCATTGTGTTTTTGGAATGGAACCCCTAGATACTAAACCCGGCCCTTGTTGCTGCTAACTCTGATGGGCAGAAGGGTTACATGTAAATAGGGGTCCTGATCTCCGCTGCGGCCTCTATGCGCATAAAAATAAAAGAGGTGGTCAGGGGAAAAGGGAGCCCTGGGGCTTCTCCCCCAACCCTTTCCAAACCAGCAGCCATGAGAAGGGGGAGCCCCAGATACCAATGTAGGATAACTGCCTTGCATGGCAGGTAGCTGTCTGTGCATAGGGGGCCTGGCCATAACACACAACAGCAGCTTAGGGTGGAACATTACCATCTAGACTGGATTTGAACTGATGACCTTGCAGGGAAAGCCTCCATGGCTCTTCCCCAAGCTCCTGTAGCACCATTTGCAGTGACTAATAAATGCAGAAAGTCATTGGGTTTTTTTTCCTTACCCAGCTGGCTCTGTGATGTCTGATACTGCCTAGTACAATCAGATCCGACCGAATCAAATGTATTTTGGATAAGTGCATCGCACTCAAAACTTGGAGCTCTCGCAAAGCTTTCCTGCCCTAGAACTCTACCATTAAGGCCAATCTGACTTTGGTGTCTGCCCTCTGATGGCCGCTGGCAGGGTCTCTTTGAGCTGTACTGTAAGTTCATGTTCTGTTACCCTGCCATTGATTAGTATGGGCTTTTTTTTCTTAATAGGCCTATTTCCGTGTTTGCTCTGCAGCTTAGCATGAAGGGGCTAAGCAAGGTCAGGCTGATGACTGGGCTAAACCAACCAGCAGACTCTTGTACACCTCATCTTGCCTGCTGTTCCTACATGGCTGACATTGCAGAGAGGGCTGAACTCAGGCAAGGCAGGCAAGCCCAGACACACTGACACAGGGGCCCACCTTGGTTCTGCTCCCACGTTGTGGCATGACCTCCTAGCAGCAGCATGTGACACTCCTCCCAGGAGCAGTAGGGTGGATCTGTTGGGTGGGCAGGCTGGGCTCATTGCACTCAGTGCCTAAAGAGGTCTGCAAAAAATGTGCATGGGTGGAGCTCTTCGCCCGCCCGACCCTATCCCAGGCCCGCTGCTGCAGAAACGGCGGGGAGGAGCAGAGAACCCATCCCTTTGCTTGCAGGAGGGGAGAAGAGATGAGGAGGTGGAGCTGCCCAGAGCTGCTGAGCTCCTCTGAGAACAGTTTCAGCCCCTCATGGGAGGGGGAGGGAGCTTTGCCTGCCTCCTGCAGCAATTCTGATTGTCTGCTCTACCCCAGGAGGTGGGGAAGTGGAGAATACCCCCAGGCAGGGCTGAAACGTGCAGCCTTCTGGCTGGGCTGGAAGTGCAGAAATGTTGTTTGTTCTATCTGTGACCATTTACAACTAGGTGCTCTTCACACACTGGGCATTTCTCTTCCTGCCAAAATCAGAGTCCTCTACTGAGGTGACATGGCAGACTCCCCGCCCCACACCACCACCTGCCCGAGCGTCTTGGCATTAAGACCTCATTGAAGTGCATGGGGCAGTTCCCAGCTCTGAGCTATTGTTTCAGGCTCTCTGCAGACTCAGGCAGACATCCTGGCAGCAGCTGTGCCTGGTATCATTTACGAGGTTTCTTTGCCATCATGAGGGCTAGAACCTTTTGACGCCAGGAGCTGGGTCTCAGGCCTGTGGTGTCTGTGCATTAATCCAGCCCAGTCTGCTACTGTCTGCGGGTAGAAAGTATGTGATATCCAATAGAAAAAGCAGTTTTCAGAAGCTGGTAGGAAGTGACATGCCTAAATGTATGAGAAGCCAAAGAGAGTTTGTTCTGCTGGTGTAATGGGCCCATCTTGGCATTTTACTGGTTCGGTGACTCTGTGAAGTCTTTGATAGTGTGGAGCAACACAGCAGCCACTCCCAGCTCATGCGGTTCATGCAAACTCAACAGGTCAGAATCATAGTGTTAATCTATGTAGCTCCATTTACGTCAATGGCGTTACACTGACTTACACCCCTGAGGATCTGTCTTATAAGATCTTTTTTCATTTTGCAAATGCTTCTGAAAACTGGAGTGATCAGTGCTGCAAACACAGTCACTGTAGTGCTGGGTCGGAGTCCTAAAATAGTGTCTAAAGCAAAGAACTAAAAGGACAGATACTAATGCTATAAGAGTTTCTTTACTCAAAGTGTACAATAAATGATAGCACTCATCATTTGCTAGCACCAAAAGGTAGAAAGTGCTTAGAAGCCTTTATTAAATATAATTACAAGGCGTTGGACATTGTTTTAACTGGCAGTTTGGCTAGGTTTTGTCAGTGTTTGGTTTCAAAACTAACATGATGGATCCTCCTGAAATGGGTTGATTTAAATGAAGCAATTGTCCCCTGGAGCAAGTATTGGTCCAGTTCTAGAATACAGCTCTTTTAATTTTACCTCTCAATCTACTTTCAGGAATAATAGTAGATGCTGTGCAAGATGAGACGTGTGTAACCTGTTGGCAGTATTGACTTCTCTTTTTATTAACCCATACGTTATTAGTTCACTCCTGCTGTTGTACTCAAGATTATCAACTAGGAATCCAGCTCTCCTTCAGAGAGTACTCTTGGTTTATACAAATATACAGGAGAGAAGAATCAGGCTCAATAGCGTCCTCTTAAAATTAATTTAATGTTGAAAACTTTAAAAGTTAGTGATAAATAAGAGTTGCAAGCAACTGATAGAACAGACTTGCTGAGTGGCAGGAATTGAGTTCTAACTGCATGATTCTCAAACCCTTTGATTCTGAGGGTATGTCCACACAGCACACTAAGCCTGGGCTCTGACTCGGGTTTGAGCCCAAACCCTATTTCCGTCCGGAACACACATCAGTCTGACCAGGGTCCTAACACTCTAATAGCAAGGTGGGTGAGAGCCCGAGTCCTGCAGTGACTTGGGGCCATTTTGCAATTTTTCAGTGTGGACGAGGTTTAAAATGAAGAAGCTTGGACACTCAAGACTAGGCTTGGAAACGGAGTCCACAAGCCCAGGTCTCACAGATTCAGGTTTACAATGCAGTGTAGACACAGCCTGTGAGGGCTCAGCCGGGCAAATCTCTGCTCTTGGGCATGATTAAAAAACCCTGGATATCAAGAAGCTGAGTGGTGTTGAGGCCCATATAAATGCCTTCAAGAGAGGTAGGAATTTGAAACGGGGTTGACAATATCTATTTAAAAAGCTATGTGGTTTCTGTGAAGTAGCATAAGATGGTCCTTCACTTATCCTATACAGTGATATTGGAGCTAGCATTTTAATGCATAGGATGTTTACCCATCATGATTTTATCAGCACTGGTGAGTTTTAGTGCAAGCAGGTTTGAAGTGGAGTAAAAATTCCACCCCTCTAATCGAAGAAATCCGTGTGTGTGGGGATAATGACAGCAGGGAAGTCACCACGATACTTAATGAAGTGTGAATGCCATCCTTTCTGAAGTTGAAAATAACATCTGGATGCAGGCATTGCTTGAATCCAACTGCACAGGACATAAGTAAACACAAACGTTTCTATGAATTATGTGCTCATTATTTCAGCAATTTGAGGAAAGATTATGCCATTGCCTTTTCAGATTCTGGCTTCCTGTGTGCTTAGGCTTTTGCCGTTTTCATCATGTCTTTAGAGTAAATTTGATAGGCACAGGATGTTGCAATAAATCGGATATTGAACCAACAGTCAATTAAAAAAAACCAAACTTAGTTTCTAGGAAAGATGCATCACATCTTCTCACAGGAATCGTACCATATGTCCTAATATCAGTGGAACAATAGATTCAATTATTGGCTTCTGATGGTGCCTTTCAGACATAATAGCAAAATAGAATTTTTGCTATGTTCTGAGCAAAAACTGTATTACTGGCACATTAAAACTGTTCTCTCCTCCCTCCCTGCCCCCCCCCCCCTTCCCGGCAAAAAAAGTCATTTTTTTCATGGCTACTCCTTTAGTGTATTTATGGTGCATGAGTCACCAGGCTTTCTTCTGATTGGATGAAAATTAAACACCCCTGGGACTGTCAGTCAGTTATAGCCATTCTCAGCTTCATTCACAGATTTATTAGCTTGCACACAGAGAAATTCATTCAGAAAACTTCATTCACAAAAACGGCAACACTCTCTTCAGAATTTTGAACAGAAAAATTCTGCTGTAACCTGGCTTTTAAGGAAAAGCTAGAAATGACTCAAGGGCTGACAAAGAAGCTGCACAAAGATGATGATGATGAGTCTGGAGATTTGAAGTAAAATTGTGCTGGACCATACAAATATTGAGCGTATTTCTAGATTGCGATGCTGAATGACTTTAAAAACAAGAATTAGCAAGATTTGTATTAAGAACTGCTGACTACATTCAGAGAATTATTTTGCATGTTTTTTAAAATCATATTGTGTGAATAAAGAATGTGCAAATTGCAGAACCATGATTTTTCTTTCCAGTTGCGCAGCTGAATACAAAATGCTAAGAACAGGGCTTGTAAGGTATCTCTTTGGATTCCTGCTAATCTAAAATTGCTTTTGAGATTCTCTCGATCTTGTATTGCTTTCTGTGGAATATTTTTTTTTTTAGTCTTTTCAGCAGCCGAGGGTTCACAGTTAATGATGCAGGCTATAACAGTGAGTGTTCAAAGCTGAGAATGATTTAGAGGCTTGCTTGCTTGCTTGTGGCAGAAGTGATTTTAGATATGGATAGCATCTCTTCAGATTAACCTGCTGTAGCATTGTTATACCTGTGTGTATGTTTCCTTTAGCATAACTTACAGATGACCATGCAGACTTAAGCTATGTTTATTAAGAAAAATAAGCCACGTGTGAAGCAGTCAACAAAAAATATCCAATTGGTGTCTGTTTTAAAAATAGTTTGAATTGCTTAATTTCCATGTCATTTACCTACAAGAAGAAAGCCAATTTATGCAACAGTATCCAGTTACAGAACTTCCAAGGCTATGAGAGAACGCAGTCAGCACAGTCTCAGTGGACACGTACTGTATGTAGGACGATTTAGACACCCAGGAATGCTTCACAGGGCTAAATACAGTCGCTTTAGGGATGATTTTATAACATCATTAGAGGAAGGTACACAAAGTAGTTCTTTAAATATCAAAGGCTCCTCTTCATCTTCTCATTCCTCAACACCTCATTTGCCAGTTGAGGATGTCACCTTGGGGACACAGGACAGCTCTACCACTTTGTGCACTTTGATCCCCCGAATGGCTAATATTAAATTATCCAATCCATCTAATCTGCCTGGTTTTAAAAACTTCTGTCTGGGGACAAAAGAGGTGCCAAGAATTAAACTCACAGAGTGTGTTTCAGTTCCAAGCAGCCCAACCTCACCAGAAATCAGTTTAATCAGCTGCCTGCCTACTTCTTATCCACGGCAGGACCCGGACAAACTCGATGTAAATGCAAAACCTCAAGATGACTGCATCTTGCTGGGCTTTGAGTCTGCCCCTCTAAGCAAACAGGACAAACCTCCGGTGCAGAGTGGAGGGGACATTGTGAAGACTGGCATGACCTACTGTGTACGAGTAAGTAGCTTCTCTCAGATTTTCCACTAAAAAGCAAATAATCAAATTGTGTGGGCTTGTGCAACATAACCTTCCTTTCCCCACTTCTTCACTAGGTACTGAAATCACTGGATACTGCATGTTCCCTGTTTCCTGAGGCCTTGTATAAATGACGTGTTGATTATACCAAGGGGAATTAAAGTACATAAGTAATCCAAAGGAGTAACATAATAGTAGTCTCCAAAAGCATTTCCTTGAAGGTTTATTATAAGAAATGCTCCTTAAGCAGATTAACTGATTTGAAAAAAGAATAAGGAAGTGCATGTTTGAGGGAGGTGAACACTAAATAATTTCTTTATCCCCTTTACAGCAATCCTGCAGCACAAAATCGCAAATGGGTCGTAACGCTGTCATGTTGCTGTAGGCGTGTAATAGTTGCTGAGAATCCTGCTGTAAATTGTAGTTCTTTTGCATCATCTCTCCTGGAAACACCAAGGGTGTTTGCTTTCATGCAGCATGTTTTATAGTCCTAAATTGGCATTTGGAACGCGTCGGATTTTCCTAGTACCACCAGTGCATGCGGTAAACCCTTTTATCCGTTTAGGAGCTGTCCATTCATGGAGGATACCTCGGCCCGATATCTTTCATTTTCAGTGCTGTGCTGGTACTGTTATATTTTGTCTCTCTATTTTTCACTCTCTGGTGGGAAGAAAACCTTGCTGCATGAATGATTCCCTGCAAACTGTATTTTCTGCTTCCCTCCCGCATGGCACACGCATCATTTCTTTTTCTTCTTTCCCAGTGTAGATTTTACAGTTGTTACCCTAATTCTTGCACTGTGAAAAGAACTGACAGTTGCTTCCTAGGGACCTTCGACCCTGACCTTTTCATTTCTTAAGGTTCATCTCCTGTCTAACAGCTTTCCAAAATGGAAGCCTGTCTACATTAGGCACAGAGAAAGCTTTTGCCATGGGAAAATTACAGCAAAATTTTTTTCAAGTTACTTCAGGAATAATGGCGTAAGAGGCTGGGCAAAGCCATGGCTTCCGTACTTTGGTTTGGCATGATTTTTGCTTGACAAATTGGTGATTTCTTATAGCCCTATTATCCTTTAGGTGCGTACAAATTGTTTAATAATTTGGTCCAATATCTTTCTAGGTATCAAAGTTAGGCTGACCAATCTATAATTCTCCAGGTGCTCATTGTTCCCCCTTTAAAAAAAGAAAAAAAAAGATACTATATTTACCCTTCTCCAGTCCTCTAGACCAGTGGTTCTCAAACTAGGGCTGCTGCTTGATCAGAGAGAGCCCCTGGCGGGCCGGGTGGGTTTGTTTACCTGCCGCGTCTACAGGTTCGGCCGATTGCGGCTCCCACTGGCCGTGGTTTGCCACTCCAGGCCAATGGGGGCCGCAGGAAGCGGTGCGGGCAGAGGGATATGTTCCAAGTTTTGGCTAGCTCTAGCATCTGGTACAGGCCACTGACAAACCCTGGATGCTGACTTAATGGTCCATGATCTCGGATGGTATAGCAATTTCCATGTTTCTGTGTTCCAAAATATGTTTGGTACTAGATCTTTTAGAGCGTATAGAAGGAAATGTATTTACATATCCTTTTTTTCATGGACTGCCTAATTGGTGTCTTCCTATAGAAAGACTGAGTAGCTAGACAGCATGAACTGTCTATATGTTGTTTGCCAATAGAACGTGTGGGACTGTCCGTATTCATTATAATCAGACTGGGGACTACACAGTGAGTTACTGTACTATACTTGCTGTTCTCAATTTGATAATTACTGTGGACAAGGCTTGCCAAGAAGTGATTATAACTATGCACAACAGTCACAAAGACAGGCTGGCTATATGTTCTATTCACAAGATACAGACCGATGAAAATAGTGTCTTTCCTTAACACCATACAACTCTGAAGGCCCAATCCACAGAGGTTGCTAGGGATCATTTTGCTGACTTCCATGGTCATTGAATCAGGCCATAAAACAGTACTTTAACAGTACTACAACAGCTCAGTCTTTAAATCAATAGTATGAACAGTCTGCAAAATCTTGAATGATTTTGTTAAGCACATGTCTGCAACAAGTCTTATTTACTGGAGTCCCCTATTAAAAATATTGAAGGGGAAATTGTTGGATATTTTAGAATTTAATATTATATAATGTACTAATATCATGTAGCTTACATTTTTTCACAGCACTCTTTCTCTTTACCAATATAAGTGCTATTCATCTGATAGCTGTTGGGTTACCTCTATAAAATAAGTTGGGGGTCTCTTGAGTAAGGGGGTTTGCAAGACTGGCCTTAAGGCAGGAAGTGAGGAATACCATGTCCACTTTGAAGTTTTTCCTGAGAGATCATGCACAGGAGCTTCTCTACCGTACTCCATTTCATGGTGGATAGGTCCATCTATTAGCCAAGATGGTCAGGGATATAACCCCTTGCTCTGGGTGTCCTTAAACTTCTGATTCTGAGAAGCTGGGACTGGACAACAGGGGATGAATCACTTGGTAATTATTCTGTTCTGTTCATTCCCTGTGAACCAGCCACTATCAGAAGCCAGGATACTGGGCTGACCCAGTATGACTGTTCTCACGTTACCCTGTGCAATCCTGCCTTTACTCACAGGTGATTTCTTACTGAAATCTGCATGAGAAAACTAATGAGAGGATCCAAGTTGTATTATCCAGGTTACATTAGGGGTGTCTGGGGGCAGGGTTTGGTGTATTTTGAGTCAAATCTTAGCTAACTTTATAGGTGTTCCGTACAACATTTTTCTTGTATTATTTTAAAAATAATCAAATTGGCTCCCTACAAAACCATCCCAACCTGGGGATGAGCTCCCATTGAGTATGGGGGAGCACTACCAGCTGCTGGCCCCCCAAAACAAAATAAAAAATATTCAACGCTGCAAAACATTGTAAATTGAGGCTATTTTGGTTCTATATTGTCTTAAAACTCATTCTCTCATTTTGTTTCTTCAGTCATTATGATTTCTGTTACAGTAGTTGCTGTTACTGGATAGACAGTTGCCCTGCCCCAAAGAGCTCTCACACTACAGCCCCAATCCTGCAAAGGTTTAAACACCCGCACGACTTTCCATATCGGAGTAGTTCCACTGGCTTCAGTGGGGGACTACTCAGGTGTATAATATTATGCACAGTCTTAAGTCTTTGCAGGTTTGGGGCCAAGGTAGGCAAAGGGTGTGAGAAAGGAAAGTGTGGCCATCCCCACTTGGCAGAGGGGGATTTGCGATTTAAATGATTTGCCAAAGATCACACAGTGAATCTGTGGCAGAGCCAGGAACTGAGCTGCGGTCATGTGACTTGCTCAAAACTGATAAACCCATAACACTCTAGTAATGTAAATGCCAGGATCTGGCCAGAAGCAGGAAAATAACAGGTCACATGCAGTTTTAGTAGCAGCAATGTTTTTATTATGCCTGCAGAGTCTCATGCAGCTAAAGCTCCAGTTTTTGCGGCTTTTTGGAGCTGGAGATGTAGTCCCAAAAGCATGGATTGAGTCACTCAGATATAGGATGGACACACATATGTTTGGCATTTTGCCAAGCCGACCCCCAAAATAAATGAAAAATCCAAGACTCTCCTGGGAAGTAGATTAACTTCCGTGACTCACTGCTTCTCAGCCTCATCTATGAGTCATGAACCAGGATGTATTTTTAGCTCTTTTGCTGTGACAGGCATAGCACTGGGTGCAAGTATTTTATTGTAATATCCATGGCCAAATGAATAAGAACACAGGTGTTTAGCTGAACCACCCCTGTGGGTCAACAGCTTACAGGAACGTTGGGTGAAAGGAGCAGGCAGCAGTGGTTGTAACCGCTGATTTAGGAATTCCCATGAGTCCTGCTCCTGTATAGCCTGTCAATAGCGGCCTGGCCCAGTGGCTTATCAATTGTGATTAGTCCTTCGTTTCAGTATTCTTCTCCCTGCGCGAGTAGAAGGTGATGGACCTGCTTCTGCCATGTTCCCATCAGCCCCTCTAAAGAAGGGAGTGACCTATGGCAACTAAACAGCCATTTCTCTGTGATGGCTTGTAAAATGTGGCGGGTGCTGGGCAGTCCTGCTATTTGATAGCCCTAGGGATTAAATTCCTCTATCCACAGAGCAGGTTCAGCCTGGGCAGCGGTAGCGCAAACTTCCTCAGTGCTCTGGTCATGTGTTTCACCCTGACTTGGAGGTACCACTGCTAGCAACGTGCGGCAGGAGGGTAACACAAACTCTGTCCGTGGTCTCTGCTGCAACAGCCAAGAAGAGACGGATAGTATCCTCTCCAATGGACAGAAGTCCATCAAATAGCCATCAACTGTTACCAACTTTAACTCCGTATTGACCGTGTTTACACTGGTACTCAGGCTCTTCACTGTAGCAAGTGGTTTCTAACAGAAAATCGTGCTGCTTAGGCCTTTTATCTCATCTGAAGCTGGTAGCTCAAAGCAGGGCTGAGCTTTGAAAGAATCCGGTTAGGGCTAGAGCCTGCAAAGGGGCCCAGTGCAGCCAGTTGGAAAATGCATTTGATTTTCCACAAAAAAAATCTGCAAGTGAATATTTTGTTTCCATTGAAATTTCTCAGCGATTTTTTTTAAAATGATTTTTGTCAAAAAATGGGGGGGGGAATGCAACCAAAAATAATGCTTTTCTTGGGTAAGTTTCCATTTGGTGAAAGTAATTTTTCATCCCAAAATGTTTTTGCGTTAAAGGATTTTGACTCGCTCTAGTGCTGAGAACCATCTGCTTCCGTTTGGGTTCTAGTCTAGTCTATATGGCTTCTTATTCTGCCCTCAGCCCCGGAGTATCAGAACACCTGCCAGTAGTGCATGAAGCAACCTAACATCTGTCACACGTGGTTCATTCTTTCTCTCGCTCATCCTCTCCCTAGGGGGAGAATTGTGGATGTAGTGCAGTGTTTTGTTTGCTCTGTTGGATTTTGTTTGGGGTTGGAAGGTGTTCAGAGTTTTGCAGGAGAAGCTCAGCACCCTGCAGGTTGGGGAAC